GGTTATCTGGGGCACATCAGGTCAGATAGGTCAGCTTGGAGTCGTCAGAGGGGTCACTTAGAGGTTACAGAGGTCATATGGGACACGTCAGGTCACAGAGGTCAACTTGAGGTCATCACAGAGCTCAATTGGAGGTCACGGAGGTCATCTGGGACACGTCAGGTTACAGAGGTCAACTTGGGGTCATCACAGAGCTCAATTGGAGGTCATCTGGGACACGTCAGGTCACAGAGGTCAACTTGGGGTCACCACAGAGCTCTATTGGAGATCACGCAGGTCATCTGGGACACTTCAGGCTACAGAGGTCAACTTGGGGTCATCACAGAGCTCAATTGGAGGTCATCTGGGACACATCAGGTCACAGAGGTCAGCTTGGAGTCATCAGAGAGCTCAATTGGAAGTCACGGAGGTCATCTGGGACACTTCAGGTAACAGAGGTCAACTTGGGGTCATCACAGAGCTCTATTGGAGGTCATTGGGGCCATCAAGGGACACGTTAGGTCACAGTGGTCAACTTGGGGTCATCACAGAGCTCTATTGGAGGTCACGGAGGTCATCTGGGACACGTCAGGTTACAGAGGTCAACTTGGGGTCATCACAAAGCTCAATTGGAGGTCATCTGGGACACGTCAGGTCACAGAGGTCAACTTGGGGTCATCACAGAGATCAATTCGAGGTCATGGGGTCATCTGGGACACATCGTTTTTAGAATTTGGAGAATCTTTTGGGGGATGCCCCTCGCAACGTCCAAGACCGCCTTTCTGGATTCGCCAGTAGTTGCTGGAATGGTATTAGGCTACTTCATAACCCTGAATACCCCAATAAATGTGAATATAACATATTATGCACCATGTTCAACACTCTCGCTGGCGCGGATTGAGGCCTCATAGACGAACCGTTGGTTCTTGCTTTATAACTCGCGTTAGCGGCAACGGATTGCAACGAAATTTTCAGGATCTCAAGTTTCAACAATTTTCCACGTACCATGCAAATTTCGTGACCATGACCCCAATGACCTGTGACCTGTGACCTCTCCCTCAAGGCCATATCAACTTGCGACACAACTTACGACTGCTATTTCAAATTCGTAAGTTGTGTCGTAAATCAGGCACTTTGCGATAGACTTTACTTCTTAAGTAACGCTACTCATCAATTGATCCCTCCAAAAACGACTTACTACACAACTTGCGACACGTCGCAGCTGCGACGAGGCTTACGACGCTCTGGATCCCCCCAGCCTTAGCATCAGCTCAGAGCTCCTGCGAGCTGCTCAAAGGATCGGATCAATCCAGTGCTCCAGTGGGAATTTAGAGACCATCCAAGATTGCATCAAAGCGGCTTGGACGACAGCAACCCACGGCGTCTTGCCTGCGGCACAAAAAGCGGAGACCATATCAGCAGAGGCGGCGTCACAGCAGCCACCGAGATGGCGATTTTCTAGGAACGTCGGTTGACATAAATGTCATTTGAAGGAAAAAATTGCTCGCGAGACAAGCTTCCCACCAGATGCAGAACCTTACTATTTGATATTATATACTTCAAGAGCACAAGTCGGTTTTATTTGGATTATTTTGGTTTTCTCTCTGTCCGCCTCTCCGGCGCCACCTTTGCCTTCGGCCTCTGCTCTCGGCGCCTGGCTGGCGTGCTGCGAACGACCGTTTCCCGGAATGACCCCAGGTACGATTGACCGGTCTGCCCACCCGTATCCGGACGGGCGACGCCAGCTTTCGGCACTCAACAGCGCGGAGAGAGCCTCTTGAACCGAGACGTGGAAACGGGGAGCTGACCGAACGCCCGAACTTTCCGCTCCGGACCGGCGCCGCGGTATTGACGCTGTGGGTTATGGTGGCTGGCCCGGTCGCCGGTCGGTGAGTCTCGGAGGGCCCGGTTCGGTGTTTCGCAAGGCCTGGTCAGTAGACGGTGTTTGGGCGGTGGGAGGTGGTTGAGAGGGTGAGGTGAGGTGGGATTCTGACAGGCCGACCACTGTAGTGCGTGACTGGACAAACGGGAGCCGGATCTGGTCACCACGGCCGAGCGTGATATCCGCCTGGAAACCGCACTTCAGAGGACAGGTGAGGAGCGAACCCGCAGCCCATGGACGCTCCAAAAGCATCAAAAGGCTTTTTGTCTAACCTAACTGCTGTCAGCAACAACACAAATTCTCGCTTTGATTCTTCCGCCCAACAAAATGTAAAATCAAATCGAATTCTCCTTGGTCTTGATTGATTTTCGTCTGTGAAGGCGAAGCCCAAGCAAAGCGCACGAATCTCAGTCGTCACCTCAGAGGCTTGAGTGTCTGCAGGGGCGCGATTCCTTTGGGGTCGCGGCGCGAAGTCTGTCGGCTGCCGCGGCGGATCCCTGCGGGTGTGCTGAGCTCGCCGGGGGCCGGGTCGGGTCGGCGGCACATAAACAAACGGGGCCGGGCACCGGCTGCCACCAGCCGACCTGTTCCTCGGGCCCGTCGACGGCTAATTTTACCCCGCCGGCCCGATAAACAAACGGCTGCACTGCGCCGCCGCCGGCCCCGCCCGCTCGCCCGGCCGACCGCCATCCGTTCCGTGACCTGCCAGAGAGCCGGATTCTCTGCGCGCGTAGCCAGTTCTGCAGGACACCCTGTATTTGTCATGCCTCTTTTCCTTTGTCTCTTCATCCTAACAGTTGTTTCGCCTCTTGCACATGCACCTGTTGAGCTATATTTAATTTGCAAGCCTGTTACCCGCAGCGAATACTGTCAAGCGTCAACCCTCCCTTTCCTATACGTGAGAGCCGTGCCTTCTTCGTTCGTCTGCGCCCTCACCCTTCCGTGCGCCGACCCTCGGCCTGTCTCTCCCAGCGGCGCCGTGCCAGCTCTCAGCGTTCGCCGAGGCTCTCTCAGATTGGAGCCGGGCCGCGGCCGTTTTCCGAGGTGGAATTAACTGCGTGCCCGCTTCCGCCACCTCAGAGGCGACCGTCCGCCGTCAGTTCGACGCTCGAATTGAGAGCTTCGTCCAACTACCGGGGTGGATTTCTCGGTGCCGTCGAAAGGGCGTGTGTCTTCGCTCTCCGTAGCGGCAGGCGGGGCACATTGACGAGTTGGCGGGCCGGTGTTTGAAATGAAAACAGACTGCTCGGCTACCGAGCTGCCCGCCAGGGCGCCGCGCGCCGCCGAGGGTGGAGGAAAGTCTGCCCGGCCAGGCTAGCAGAAGCCGGTTTTGGCACTGGCGGCGGCAACGGCCGCTGTCGAGGGGAGGGGAAGGGTCAGAGGAGGGCGCGCTACCCCCGGACGGCAGCCGTCGGTGCAGGGGAGGAGAGGGAGGATGAGGCTGAGCTGCAGCTGCGGATGGGACTGGACCACTTGGAGACGGGGCGCGCTGTCAGTTTGAAAGGGTGGAACGGGTCCAGCAGAGGTCGGTGGGAGGCACTTTGACCGTCACGTCGACTGGGGTTGATAAGACCTGACGGGGGCGGCGCGGCCAGGGCTGTGGGCGGGGGCGGGGGCGGCGCGGCCAGGGCTGTGGGCGGCGCCCTGTGGGCGGGGGCGGGGGCGGCGCCCGCCCGGCTGTCGGCAGCAGTCCTGTGCCGGGCGGGCCGGGTGTCGGCGCCAGTGGGCGATCGGCTCGGCGGCGCCCCTCGCCGGCGCGGCGGACCACTGTCTGCCAGCGACAGTTGCCGTGCCAACGCGCCGCACCGCACCGCCATCGGCCCAGCTAACGACAAAGCCGGGATCGATGACCGTCGGTCGTCGCTGCCGACGGGTTCGGCGGTCCCTCGGTGGTCCCCAATGGTCCCTCGGCCGGCTAGGGGCCATCCCGGGGCGACAGGGATCACGGGGGCAGATGACCGCACTGCAACAGACCTGCACGGGTGACGTTGGACAAAGCAAACAAGCAATCCGGCTGTGTCTGGCAACACCAGTCTGCAGCCAACACTGCGAACCGCGGAGTGCCCAAAGTCCAGGGAGCAACCGCGGTGACAGAGACCATCACAACAAAACCTGGCCAAATCAAATCAGCCTGAATCACAGCCAACACACCCACAAAGCACCAATTCGCACTCAGAAATCAGGTGAATCGATCAACAGCTGCACTGCTCGCTCTCCGCTCAGCCCCAGTTTGAATCCCCTCTTAGCTGTCGGGTTTAGCACTCTACCATCTCGTCTGCAGCCTCCCGCTGTGTCGTATCGACACACAGGGCTTCCGTGAAGCTCCTCCCAGCTCCACTCATCGCTAGCGCTTCAGAGCAGCCTCCGACTCCGGACGCGAAGAAGGGGAGATTAGGGCGCGCCGGGAGGGCCGCGGCGTCGCTAAGTCCAATAATAATCGTTATTATTATTAGATCTTCCAGAAAATCCACGAGAGGTCACGGACGCTCCAGGCCAAAGTAGGCGGATTAAGTCGTCCATAGTCTTTGGGAAGGACGTGGAAACTTAGTTTTAACCCTCGCATGTGTAGGGGGGGGGGGGGTCGGATGGACCCCCCATGGTTTTTTCGCGAATAACTCGCGTAAAAAGCGGCCGATCGCGACGAAACTTACAGTACCCTCACATTGATCAATTTTACACCTACCCTGAAAATTTCATGATCCTGACCCAAATGACCTTTGACCTGTGACCTCTTTTCCGAGACCATGTTTGGCCGGAATCGCTATTCTGCGTATGTCGGCTCGCATTAGCCGCGCGTTTGCAAGCTTTTCGTGGTTTCAAACGTTCAAACATGTGATTTGATGTTGCTTCCATGCATTAGAGTGGGTGTCAAGGTCGCCTGAAGGTCAGGTCAGGTCATTGACCTTTGGTGACCTCGGGTGACCTCGGTTCACTTTTTCGAGCTGTACATGTTTCTAGGCTAGTTTTTGGAGCTGAATTCGAATTTAGCAACCATTTGAACATTTACGAAGTAGTTTTGGTGCCTTCGTAACATGTTACGAAGCTGTCAGAGGCGGTTGACACGTACTACGAATACCCGTCACGACGCCTACTGGTTGACCTTGTTCGATTCGCCCCGGCTCCCGGTCCACACACTAGCTCTCGTGTCGGTCAACTGTATTGGCTCAGGAGGGGACGACCGGTCAGCCCCGGTGGCCGGCCGTGCCTCGGGCGATTAGAGTGGCCGGAATCAAACCCACAAGTCCGCACATAACACCTCCCCCCAGATAACTATCCCATCACCTCCCCCGCAAGACGTAAACACAGAGGTACAAAGTGATTAACGTCTAACGACATAGCAGGCACATAACGCCATTAACAGAAACAAAACAAAAAACTTCCAGAGGCGGAGGACGATGTCTCCCGGCACCACGCAGGGTGTGGGATGACATATGTCGGACAGTAAGCGATGCTGTATCACGGTATCGTCTGGTATGACTTAGTGCCCCAGCTCACAGATAGATGTTTTGTGCGCTGGCGCTGCCGGTTGCTGCGTCGCGGCTCCGGTGCGTCCGCTGGTGCCGCGGGTGCGTCGGTGAGCGGTGCTAGGGGCTCTCCGACGCCGTCGACAGGCGGCAGCGGAGGCGCAGGCCGCGGGCTGCCGGCGGTCGCCTCTCCGTCCGGCCGGCGCTGCTGCGGTGGTGGAGATTGGGGCTGCGGTGGCGGAGACTGGGAGGCGGCCACGCTCTGGGGTCGCAGGTATCGCCGATTCCGCCACATGAGTCGCCCGCTGGGCAGTCTGATGTTGAAGTCGCGCCTGCTCCCCACGCCGGTCACGGTGCCGGTACGGTCCCATACCTTCGTGATAGGGTCTTGCACTATGACCTTTTGTCCCACTCGGAGTGTTGGGTGTGCTCGCGCAGTCATGTTGTATCGCTCTTCGGTTTGGCTTCTCTGCTGTCGAGTTCTGGCATCACAGGTGTCCGCAGCCTCTTGCCACTGCGCCGCAAACGCGCGGTGGTGGGCCGGAACTGCCGACCTCAGCGGGTGGCCAAATAACACCTGCGCTGGAGAGCGTCCGTCCGCGCGCGGCGTATTCCGAAGCTCGAGCAGAGCGTGGACGAACTCGTCGGTGTCGAGATCACCGTGCTGCGTCGTTTTCTTGATGAGCCGCTTGACGTTCTTGACGGCGGCTTCTGCATGTCCGTTCGACTGTGGGAAGTGTGGCGTGGAGATTTGATGAATGACTCCCCATTTCTTCAAGAACTCGCGGGTATGTCGCGCTGTGAACTGTCCTCCGCCGTCAGTTCTCAGTGTCTGTGGCACACCTGTGGCCGCAAACATCTTGCGGAGACATCTGGTGAGAGCTCTGGCTGATGCTTCTCCTCTGACGTGGTACACGGACGGCCAACCGGACAGTCTGTCGGCATAGACCAGGTAGGTCCGCCCGGCCCAGCTGAAGTAGTCGGCGGACACAGCTTGGAAGACGCGTGTCGGCAGCGGCTCCAGCATCAGCGGTTCCTTCTGCAGGCTCGGCAGGTGACGTTGACATCTGGAACAGGCTCCAACGAGGTCGCTGATGTGTTTGTCGATCTGTGGCCAGTAGACCACTTGTCTTGCTCGCCGCTTGGTCCTTTCGATCCCCTGATGGCTGGAATGCAGACGCTCCAGCGTCACCCGTCTGAGTTGCTGTGGGATCACCAGTCTCTGGCCGCACAGGATGAGGCCGTTGTCGACAGTCAGTCGCTCACGACAGCCCCAGTAGGGCTGCAGTATCGGCTCCAGTTCTCTCCGATGGTCCGGGAAGCCGTGCATGATCGTGTGCTTCAGTGCAAGCAGCTCTGGGTCGCCGGTAGATGCAGCTCTTACTTCCTCTAGAGCGGCGTCCTTGAACGGGCTGGGGTCCGTTTCACTGTCTGAAGCGGTGAGGCTGCTTACTACGGACTGGACTCTCACGCTGATGTCGTGCTCAGCTGCTTCATCCTCCGCCGTCGGTCGCTCGACTGGGGCCCGAGACAGGGCATCGGGGATGGAGTGGAGCTTTCCCTGCCTCCAGCTGGTGACGAAGTTGTACGCGATGAGCTTTTCGCGCAGTCGCCGCAGGCGGGGATTGTCGATTTCTGCCAGTGTTTTCTTGTTCAAAACCGGAATCAGGGGCCGGTGGTCCAGAACCACTTCAAACGTCTGCATACCCCTGAGGTATGTGTCAGCTTTATAGCATGCCCACACGAGGGCCAGTAGTTCGAGTTCAATCACGGCGTAGCGGGTCTCGACATCAGTTAGAAATCGAGAGCCGCACTGTATCAGTCGCCAGTTGCCGTTCTCGTCTTGTTGTCTGAGGCCGAATCCCAGGCCTCCGAGACGTGATGCGTCAGTCTCCAGAACAGTTCTGCGCGTGGGATTGTAGAAGTCGAGAATGGGTGGCGACACCAGTGCCGTCTTCACCTTCTCGAATGCTGCGGTGTGCGCTGGTGTCCACAGCCATGCGTTGCGAGGTTTCAGCAGTTGGCGCAGTGGCTCAGCGGCCGACGCGATCTCATCTGAGAAGGCACCAAGTTGGTTTACCAAGCCTAGGAAGGCTCTTAGGTCTGTTATGTTGTTCGGCTGCGGGAAGTGCTTCACAGCTTGCACCTTCTTTTCATCCACGGTGTACCCATCTGAGCTGACTCTGTAGCCACAGAAGTCGACTGTCTTCATGGCGAATTGACACTTCGCTGGGTTTAAGGTGATGTTGTACTCGTCACACCTCTTCAGCAGCTTCCAGACGTGTAGCAGGTGGGTGGAGTAGTCGTCATCCCACGCTAGCATGTCGTCTACCACTTTCACTGTATTCGGGATGTCCCCCAGCGCTTGGTCACCGCGCCGGTTGTAAACGTCTCCCGAGTGGGTGATGCCCATCGGCATGCGCTTGTATCTGTACCTGCCCCACGGCGTGATGAAGCAGGTGAGATCACGGTCTTGTTCCCTCAGCGCCATCTGGTGGTATCCGGCTTTGCAGTCCAGTTTCGTGAAGAAGCTGGCACCAGTGGCGATCGATGACACGGCGTCTTGTGGTGTGCGACCAGGGTGCACTGGCCGCTTCACGAATCGGTTGAGTTTCGTGAAGTCCACTGTGATGCGGCATCCGACGGACTTGCCGTCAGGGTCTGTCTTGGCCACAGGGCACAGTGGGTGACACCACTCTGTCGGATGTTCGACTGCTTCGATGACGTCATGTTGAAGAAGTTCGTCCAGCTGTCGGCGCACGTCGTCTCTCCAGTTGAATGGGATGTTGCGCGCGCTCGTCTGAGCGTACGGCGTCGCGTCATCCGTGAGCTCAATGGACATTGGCTCGCCGACCATCTCCCGTAGTCCTGATTCGATGTCAAACACCTTCGGGAATTCTGCCTTCAGAGCTGCGAAGTGTTGTTGACGGTGTTCATCCGGCGGTATGCCAGTGTGGCATCTCTTCATCTTGCTGATCCATGCCGGTGGCTGCCTCGTGGTTGCTGGGCTGGCTGAGCGGGGTCTGGCAGCGCGCGTGGGTGGCGCAGCAGCTGGCGAGCTCCGACTGCGCGCGCCTGCCGGCTCACTGTCCGGTCCTCCAGACGAGTGGTGGCTCTCCAGACGTCTGATCTGCCGAGGGAAACCAGGCGGCAAGATGCCGAGCTTCACGCAGTCGTGCCACGACAGGAGAGGCGTGTGAAGTGACTCCATGACAGATATCTCGGCTGAGTGGCTGACGTCTCCAAGAAGCAGCGTCAGGTTACATGTCCCCATGCAGTGCATTTTCCGTCCATCAGCGGTCCACAGTGTCGTCTTCGACGGGCGCAGATCGTCCAGCTCGACGCCCAGAAGCCTGGCTTGGTCTCGTGATATGACCGAGACCTCTGCACCGGTATCAGGGGTCCAGGTGGTTGGAATCGGTCGCCGACCCCGATACATGGTCTCCAGTTCTATGCGTGGGGAGCGCTTCACGCTGCTGTTCTTCAGTCGCACATCTGAAACGTATACGTTCAACAGCGACGCTGCTGTTGAGTCTGCCTCTTCATCCTCCTCGCTTCCACTGACCAGGTCTCCGTCTCCGCTGATGCCGGCCACCCGATTGCCGCCAGAGCTCCAGAACTGCTGGCGTCGCCGAGAGGTGGCGCTGGTCCTTCGAGCCTGATTACCATAGGTGGCGCTGTCGGCGCTTCTGGTTCCAGGGCCACGGCTGCGGCCACGCTCCGCGCGCGGGGGCGTGAGCTCGTCACTCCGCGGTCGCTCATGGTCGTGGCGAATTCGCGGCAGACTGCTCCCCGTCGTGCGCCGCCCGCTGGCCCGGCCTCGGCAAGTGACCGCGAAGTGGTCGCGCTCACCGCAGCTGTTGCAAGCGCGGCCCAGAGCAGGACAGCGTCTGTCATCGCTGTGCTCCGCCGCGCCGCACCGGCGGCACCGGCTCAGCTGGATCGAGTCTTCACTGGCGAAACGTCGCCGGTTCTTCTCTTGACGGTAGCGAGATATCCGTCCGACCGTCCCTGACTGCGTGATCTCCTGATTGTTGTTGGTGGCGCATTCACAGGCACGACATATGTCCAGCGCTTTCTCAAATGTGAGGTCGGCAGTCTCTAGCATGCGCCTTCGCGCGTCACTGTCGATTGTGCCCACGACGATATGATCCCGGAATCGATCATCGGCACAGTGTTGGCAAAAGTCACAGCACGCTGCTATCTCTCTCAGGGCGCACACATACTCGTCGATGGATTCACCGGGCTGCTGTAGTCTGGCTGTGAAGTCCATGCGGTCGACTATGACGTTGCGTTGGCGACGCAAGTACTTCTGCATGGCCTCGAGGACGCTGTCCAGATCCGCGTCCGCGGGTAGCTGGAGCCCGAAGTCGACGATCCGTGTCCAGTCGTCGTCTAATACGGCGATGAGGGCGGCCTTCTGTTCCGCTGTTGTTAGCTCACGCACACGGGTGAGCAGACAGTATCCGTCGAATTTTCTTCTCCATGTGTCGAATTCGATGAGTGACGCTGATGAGTGCAGCCTGGGGACTGGCGTCCCAGTCGCCGGCAGGCAGATCCGTTGCCGGGAACCGACTGTAGGCGGCACAGCCGCCGCGGCGGCGACACTCTCTGTAACCGCGGCCGCCGCAGGTGCGCTCCCGCCGCCAGTCGCCGCAGGCGCGCCGCCGCCGCCAGACGCCGTAGGCGCGCTGCCGCCACCCGCCGCCGCAAGCGCGCCGCTGCCGTCGACTGGTCGGGCGCCGGCAGCCGCGCCCTGCTGGATGTGTTGTAGAAGCATCGTTAGCTGCTCGTCACGCCTGGCCGCCAGCTCCAGCTGCTGCCCCAGAAGCCGAGTCAGCAGCTCTGTCGATGTCTCAGTCGCCGGTGCCGCGCCCGGCGGCTTGGCGTCTCGCTCCTCCTGCTCGCAGTCCGACATCGCCACACGTTAAACACTGAAACGCTTCACTCGGCAGCAAAGAAGACACGTATCACATTTATCACATTAGTCCGAGTCAAATGAGAGAGCTGTGTCTCATATCGGTTCGCGTATCACTGCGACCGCGCCATGTTCGATTCGCCCCGGCTCCCGGTCCACACACTAGCTCTCGTGTCGGTCAACTGTATTGGCTCAGGAGGGGACGACCGGTCAGCCCCGGTGGCCGGCCGTGCCTCGGGCGATTAGAGTGGCCGGAATCAAACCCACAAGTCCGCACATAACAGACCTGACCTGACCTGACCCGACCTGGTCTAAATGCTTAAAGACATCATCTGTGATCAAAACTAACACGATATTCGTGATCAGCACCCCGAAAAACCCCTCAGCAGCCACACTTTACGACTTTCTAACAGGTCCCGATTTTCCCGACTTTGGGTCATTGACCTGACCTGGAAGGTCAACCAATGACCTAGGACCTTAAAATTGGGTATCATCGGCTTCCTCTCGTCACGGGCAACACGCTCGTTTTTTCCGCGAAGCTCTAGCTCGATCAGGGGCCAAACGGCAAGGGGGGGTCCAACCGACCCCCCCCCCCCACACATTAGAAGCTGGCAAACTCGCACACATGCGAGGGTTAAATATTTTCAACATGTATTATCATAGCGTCGTCATTATCATACCAATCAGCTAAGTGTTGAATTAATGACAATTAAGTATTCTTCGTCGAGGTCCTGTTCCACTTGACTTTATTTAGGAACCTTGCCCTGCCTAGTTCTTTACCGTCGGTCCTACCTCAGCTTATCCTTTACAAATGCTGGCCACCCCACGCAAAATTATTATTATGATTATTAACCCGCGCACCGACGGGGGGGGCGGATATCCGCCCCCCCCCCCTGAGGTTTTTCGCGAATAGCGGGAAAACCGCGGCGCTACGCGCCGCGAAATTTGGTATGACTATTCCCTTATCAATTTTACACATGGTGTGCAAGTTTGAACCTCCTACCTTTCAAGGTCAGGTCATCAGGTCACTTTGAATGACCCAACCTCAAGTCACTTTTTTGCAACTTTGTCACCGTGCCAGAGCTACAGTAGATGTCGGAGGCCTTTGAAAGTCGCAGGATGTTATTAGGTCATTAGTAGCTACAATTTGTATATCTCGGAATTTTGATATCGGTGACCTAAGGTCAGGTCAATTTCGCGACCTCCCCATTATAAGTCAATGGGGGAAAAATCAACTCCCTGTTTTTACCACTAAAACGGGTCGGAATGGCCCCATATACCATACATGACTTCATATACGATCAACCTTCACTACCTTGAGGTCTGTTTTGCTGTTGGGCAGCTGTGAGGTCATGTGACGTCATCAAAGGTCACCAAAGGTTTTTGGCCAATAACTCCGTACAGGAACAAGATACAGACGCGTGGATGGTCTCATTGTGTTCAGCTCGTCAAGACGCATCGAATGATATACATGATGACCTCGAGGTCACGTGACCTGAGGTCAACCTTTGACCTTGACCTTTCGAGGTCAACATATATATCATTCGATGCGGATTGACGAGAGGATCACGATGATGCCCTTAGTTTGTTCCTAGCTTGACTAATTCGAAAGTTATTCGAGAAAAACTCTCTCCATATTTAGCGCCGCCATTTTGACTTTTTCGACCCCTGTGACGTCATCTTTGACCTGACCTGAAAATGACCTTAGTAAAAATTGTAGATCTTGACCGTGCGTATCCGATGCCGTTTACCGCTTGTCGCTATCTTGCTTCGTTCTCGAGATCTCAGGGGGGGCGGTCATCCGCCCCCCCCCCCCCCCCCGTCGGTACTAAGTTGGCGCAGACCCCCGTCGGTGCGCGGGTTAAGATTATCTCTACTGCAATCTTTCTGCTACCACCGTAACTGTAGCACCGCTCCGCCGCCGCCGCCGTTACCCTCTCTGTCCACCGCCCACCGCCGCGCCGGCCGCCTGCCACCACCGCCCGCCTACCGCCGCGGCCGACCCGCCGACCCGCCGCGCCGGCCGCCGCCGCACCGAGCAGCGGCCCTAATTGGGCCCAATGGACCCGCAGTGGCCGCTACAAATTGGCCCGCCAATTGGCATGAGGACGGTTGAGCAGCCGCCTTTCCTCCTAGCCCGCCGGCTAATTGTTTCTCCCGGGCTTCTTGGGCGAATGGGATCCCGAGGGTGCCGTAGACGTACGAGTATGTAGTGGTAGACTGAGGCGGGTCTAGTACGGTTTCCTTTGTCCGAGGGGTCTCAGAATCGAGAGATCATTCCGTGAGTCTGGGGATATCACTATCTACGGTGTTACCCTTTGGAACTTCGAGAGGTGGACAAGAAGACAGTGCCGCTAAGTCCAGCAGTCAAAGTTCCCTTATGGCACTTCTGTATCGTTTTGCATTCCGTGACCACGATCCATCACGTGCCGTCGCGATAACTGCCCAGACTGTCTCATCTGCCTCACTCACCCTTCCAGACGGTCAGCAGCCATCCTCGGCGATCCGAGGCAGTGCCGAGCCCAGTTGACGGGCCGACATCAAACGCGACGAGCGAGCCCTCGGGCGCCGCCACTTGGCGTGCTGCATTATGAAGCGAGCGTGGCCCAATGACTGCGTCGACAGCCACGAAGGGTCGAGCATCGACCGCGCAGAGCAGGCCGATGCTGCTGAGGGGTGAGGAGCTGCTCGAACCGAACGGGCGAGGTGGAATAGGCGAGGCGAGCTGGAGAGTGAGGCTGGACTGGGCGAGGCGAGCGGGCGATGTGAGACAAGGAGGGGGAGCGAGCGGACGCGCGAGGCAAAGTGAGCCAGCGAGCGAGTCTGGACGAGGATAGAGCGCCGAGGGACGCTCCGGTCAATCATTAGTCCATCGACGAGTAGAATCGATACAGTCTAGGACGAGGTGCGTCGAATCCGACCAGGTAGCGCCGACCGGAGCCAATTTGTGCCAGCCGGCTGGAGAGTCTGTCCGGCTGAGCTGTGCCGAGCCGAGTGGAAGTGTTATACCGAGCGGTGCTGCCGAGCTCTGTCCGGAGCAGCTCCGGCGATGAGCTGACGAAATTTACGGCCGCCTCGCTGGCGGCTCGGGGCGGCGGGAAACCCTGGTCAACGGTTCACCGCCCGGCTGGCTCCAGCGGCCGCGCAGGCGCACCGGCAGATGCGCAATCAAATCGTAATGGGGCAAAGACGACATAAATAATGCAGTGGCGACCCGCACGGACCTGCTGCCTGGCGGCCGGGATGTGGTCGGAGTCAGACGCCGCGATAGACCATCTGACCACCAGAAAGGGTATCGATTGGGGTTTGGGAATGGTGGTATACGGGCCAGTGTACCACCAATTGGTCTACCTAGCTTTGAAGGTCAGCAGCAGCCCATGATGCTGCTTTCTTTGTCGCCTGTGTGTACATGCCCTACTCTTCAGTTTGACTCAATTACCTTGACTTAACCATTCAACTCGACCACTGTCCTCTGACTCAATAGTCAATTCCCTGAATGGACCGCCCGGCTCAATCGTCTCGACTCAATTGCTTAACTGGACGCTTTGACTCGATTGCCCGACTCCATCGCGCTATTCCGCTCCCGCGCCGTGCGTCACCGGCGCGCCAAATCCGTCACAGGGGCGAATGTAACCGTACCGGCGCGGCGCGGCGGGGGCGCACTCGTTTGTGAAATGTGCGGTCACGGATCACCTCAGGTGCCGCTCGCCAGTCCCGGCGTGGATGTGGAGTGAAGGACAGGGCAGGACCGGGCTGCAAACGAAGTGAGGGAATTGGTAAAGGGCCAAGGGGTTTGTTTTTCTTGCCCATTGCTAAGGCATTGATTGGTTAGGCATGGACATTTGATGTACCATTGAGTAGTCAGAGAACCTATTGAGGTGTCGGCAAATAAGCACTAAGAAGTCACGTGAATGTATTTGTTTTTTTTTTTCTTTCTCATATGCCTGTGATTTTTTCCATTGCCGAACCTAGCCGTATTTGCAGCGTTAAAAGTCAGTTGACGGCACGTGGAGGAAGCTGGCCATTCCAGTATGTTTGGAGCTGGACAAAATCATTTTTGCTGGTTGTAGTAATCTGACGATATGATGTTAAGCAGTTCGCTGGCATTTTGTGATAAAAGTACTTGAGACCCGTCCGCTTTTCCATAAATATCTCCAGTACTCGCCAAGTAACCAGAACCATAAAAAATGAAACCGGTATTCCGTTTCAAGTTACGATGCAATCTATGTTCAACTGCGATTTTTCTGTACCATTTCGCTACCCAATCGTTTCATCGCGCCGCCCGCGTCTGCACGTTCCGGCGATGTTGGCATTTTCCCTCTGTTCCTCGCTCCACCTCCTCCGCTATGTCGCCATGCCATGGAAGGGAGGGAGGGGGTGGGGATGGGGTCCGGTCGGCGGGTCGGCTAATCCCCCGATCCGTCACCCCGGGTGACACCGGTGGGTCACGCGCCGGACCGGAGCGTCATCGGTCAGCGGAGACCACTAATCCGACCCCCTCCCCTCCCCCACCTCCCCGGGCGGTGGGGGAAGCCTCGGCGGTGCTGGCTGGCCAGCAGAATGGCGATCAATTGGCGACGCTCGAATACGATCGACAAACTGCGATCGACGTGACGATGTCCGCTGCCGTGAGTCCGCGAACTTCGAGCTTCGTGAGTTCGCAACGCGGACTTCAACCGCAATCGGATAGATTATCGTCCGGATGTGGTGGCAGTGACGGAGCAGGATGACCATGACGATGACGGATCTGGTGGCCAGGACACGCTTCAGCATGTCCGGCAGAATACAGTAGCAAACACAAACACAGAGGCGGAGCACTGTGATCGACCTAAACACAGAGCACGACCAATGATTTGCCGGTCGCTGCCTCGACTGGGAATTTAACCCACGGAATCGTCCAACAGTCGAAAACCCCGGTTACCGAGAATCAAGCATGGTTCTGGACCTGGTTACCGAGAATTAAACATGGTTCTTTTCAACATCCGGTCAGCGCATGGCCTAGCCTCTGTTGACTGGATTCCTTCAAGTCTGACATCGTCCGTACCACGCCTGGGAGTTAGTGTACTTAGTTCAAAGAAACGAACGTAGTGCCAGTCATGGTTTGATGGTATAAGTCCGTAATGGATTGATGGTTCAGTGGAGGGTATCACCCGAGTTTTTCTCAGCTGTCCCTCCTTCGTCATCAACTGGTCTCCATCCGTCTCTCATGCATATATTTTCATATGTCTCAAGCAGAGTTTACAAAGAAAAGGCATGAAACCCTGCTACCAGCAACCA